AGAAAGAAAGAAAGAAAGAAAGAAAGAGAGAAAATAAATGTGGGTCTTATACATAATGGAGCAGTGTTCTACTCTACCATAAGGAAGGTTAAACTTGAGTCATTTGTTGGAAAATGGGTGCCTTCCCAAGGGGAAGGAGGTTAGGAAATGGACGGCAGGGAAGGCAGGGAAGGGTGGGGTGTGAAAATGGGCACTGTGACAAGCAATGCACGTGTCCAACTCCATACAAGGAATGTACATAGTATGTACTGAGAACACATAACCAACAAAAACAAAAAAGCAAGAGGATCAAGAGATGTGTACAAGGGGAAGGAGGGAAGGGAGCACAGTGGCCGGGGCACGATCCCCAGAGAGCCCTGCCTGGTCTGCCCCCGGGGTGTGCCGAGACACGATTGAGATTGGGCATGGTGGCGCACGCGTGTAATCCCAGCACTTGGGAGGCTGAAAACAGGAGAATCACTACAAGTCAATCTACAGGGTGAGACCCTGTACACCCTGTAGACCCTGTCTAAATTCATTTTTAGAAAAGCAAGCAAGAAAGAAAGAAAGAAAAAGGAGGAAAGGGAAAGGAAATAAAAAAGACGAGTCGTGTGATGGACCACCTTCCCACAAGGATGTCAACATTAAGAACTGCACTGCACATGTTTATCATTAATCTAAAAGTTTTTTTTAAAAAAGACTTCACGAATTTGTGTAGCCCCTGAAGTGCACACTTCAGTCTTCTGGAAAAAAAAAAAAAAAAGGTAAAAACTAAAATAGTACAGCTAATAGTGCACTCCAAGTATTCTTCCTCTGTTATGCCCATGTTTTCTAAAGTTTTAGAAATTCAGTGCTACTAGCCATGCTGTAATCCCAGCACTGAGGCAAAAGGGTCACTTCCAGTTGATGACCAGCCTGGGCTACCAAGTGAGTTCAAAGTCAGCCTGAATTACATGAGACCTTGCCTTAAACAAAGCAGAATAAAACAATTGCATTTATCTTGAATACTTCGCATGTACCTGATTATCCAGCCATACCATGTATTACTGTTAGAGTACTTATTTTTATATTAAAATAAAAAATATTTAAAGCATTTGCATTTTGTTTGTAGAAGAAACCAATTCTCTGAAGAATGCATCTGAAATTATATCCAGACCACAAAATACCATGTTCTGGACCTGACGGTAAAATGCGAGCAGCGTAGCATTCACATTAACCGTGGACACTGCGGTAGGAGGGGTGCGCTGCTGTAGCAGGCTTCGACGGCTTGGCATTCAGGAAGGATAAGGAAAAAAGTTCCTTTTAAGCAGTTATTTCTACTGCTTCGCCCTAAAGGAAAGCTCAGATGCAATCTTTTTTCCTTCATCTTCCCCCACACGTAGTTAACGTCTTGGTAAACAATGCAACTTTTCAGCTGACAGGTTTCACTACATTTTAAAAGTATAGCCTAGTTTACATGCCTCACCCGTGCCCCAAGTGCTTTTGGTTAGGATAAAAATAAGGCTCAGGACATTTGTTTTCATCTCGTAGTCATAGAACATGTTTTAATAACCATTAAGATAACAATATGCAATGTATTAATTATTGAAACTGTCCTATTAATCGGTTTTGAAACTGTCTCATTGCTGTTTTTCAAAATTAAAAAAAAAAATATGTTGTGGACACAGAAATGTCATTCTTTAGCTCTTAAAGAAAACATTATTGAACACAATACATTTATTTTAATATGTTATGCTTACATATTGGTAGAGGGTAGGTTTTTTTTAGTAGGACAATTTTCAATAATTAATACACTGCATATTGTTGTCTTCATATTCACAGCACAAGATGCAGACATGATAGCCTGTCCAAGCACTATTAATACAAATCTTTCTTCTCGAGGGCAGTTTTGAAACAGTTAAATGCGTCATATCACTTGGAATTTATTCTTGACCACTTCTTTTGTAGTTAAGGTTGGCCTTGAACTCACTGTGTAGCTCAGGCTGGTCTCAAACCCAGGGCCATTCTCCTGTCTCAGATTCCCAAGAACTGGGACTGGTAGGATTACAGGAATGTGCCACCACACCTGGCTACCACTTAGATTCTTATCTTAAAGTATTCAACTTTTGCTTATATCTACTTTTTAAGTTAAAAGGGCTTCACTGTAGTTTTTTGTTGTTGTTGTTTTTACTGTATTTGATATAGGGTCTAAGCAGCTCAGACTCCTAGTGATCCTCATTTTCAGCACTGGGATTACAGGCGTGTGCCACCATGCCCAGTCTCTGGCCAGTTTAGTATGCCATGGGCGAGGCTGGCGTGACATGTGGTGCTGGGGATCAAACCCTGGTCCTTGTACTTGCCTAAGCAGGTACTTGATGTGCCAAGCTACCTCGCCAGCCCTGTCATTGTATGTTCTAAGTAATCTTAATTCATTCATTTTGTAAAACATCCTTCTGCTTAAATCAGGCATTCCCAAACACCTATCAATTATACGGTAAGGAATTGCTTATAATATGTAGTCTGAATTGTCTTTACAGACTCCTGTTATCTACCTGTAGTCTGCTTATAATCCTCGCCTATGAAGTAGGTGGAAGTCAGAGCTTCAGAATCACTACAATGAACAAAGAGAAAGATTTAGAATAATTTTTATTCAAAAGTAAAAACAAACAGGACTATGCATGACATCAAAGCAAAAGAGTGGCCTGGTTCCCTGGAACCAGGAAAATATGTCCCCTAAGTTAATGACCAATCTTCTACAATAGTTTTTATGCACTTTAAGGAGGTCAGATTTAGAAATCAAAAACAGGAAATCACAAAACATTCTCTATCTGAAAGAGTGTATTTCACACTTGGTTACTAGGAGTAATTTTGTGAAAATGCAAAGAACCTCATTGTATAATCTTACCAGAGAATCATATAAGATAAAAAATAATTAGTATTTGTTTAAGGCCTCTAAATTAATTTTTAAAAATTTAGTATATGTTTGCAGTACCTAGTGCTCACGCCTTGTGTGGAGGTGGCACCTGTACATAACACACCTTTGTGTGTGTGTGTGTGCGTGCGCATGCAGGGTCTCACTTCGCAGCTCAGACCTGTAGTGATCATCCTGTTTTCAGCCTCCCCAGCGCTGGGATTACAGATGTGTGCCACCACATCCAGGCTGAGCTATCTCACCAGCCCACGTGCCATTACTTTTACAATCTATTAAGAAATTATATAATAGAAGAAATCCAGCACAAGAAGCAGAAAACTATTCAGAAATATTTAATATACAAGATATATGTGTGTACAAAATGCAAACAATGTAACAAAAATACTTCATGGTTATTAGCATGACAAAAGAATCCTGTGCATACAGTTTTTTAAATTTTAGATTATTTCTTGATCCCTGTCACCACTTTATCCAGCCTCTCTTCATCATACAATGGTGGTAAAGTTAAAAATCTTTTGAAGTGACTTTCCTTATCATGGTGTATTTTTTCTAATTTACTGCTTCCCAAACTCAATATGAATCACTCAGGAATCATGTTTAAAATGCAGGTTCTAGGTACAAGGTCTAAAATTAATTTCTAACAGGTTCTCAGTTAATACTGATTTAACATTTCAAAAAACAGAGATCCAATTCACTCCGCAAGCCATTCTTTTAGAACACTGCTTTTTCTAAAAGACAGTTCTTGACATCCACATTAATTCAGTGAATCATGGGTGAACATCTACACTCAATTACTGCTCCAGAATTTCATTGCAGACAATCTAGCTGTCTACTACAGTTGTTCTAACTCAGCTGTATTTGAGGTAAAATGTGTATAGAAAGCGGCATATATTTTAAATGCGGAACCCAAAGTTTTGAGCAATGCATATACCTAAGAAACCACCACTCTCTCAAAAAGATGTAAAGCATTCCCATTCAAACCATCTTCTCTCATCCAACTTTCACCTTTCCACTGACTGCCAACTAGTGTGTGTGTGTTTCTGGTTTTGGTGGTGGGAACTGAACACAGGGCCTCTGGCATGCTGGGCTAGTGATGGTGACGTTATAGGTTTCTGGAACTGTGCTAGGTAAACATCTTTGACAAAGCTACTCCTCCAGCTCTGACCTATTCTTTAACTGAAGTTCTTCCTTTTTCAAAGTATACCCCCAACTCACTAACTTAGCTCCATCTGAATGGGTCTTACTTTTAACATCCAGCCATCAACCTCTCTCACTGAACTATAGAGGGATCCTCACAAATTTCTCTGCCTCTGTTCTTGCATCTTTCTCCCCCATTATTCTCAGTCTTGTCAGAGTGAATTTTCAAAACCATGTATCAAATCAAGCTACTTCTTGCTTAAACTAACCCAGTGGCTTACCATCACAAGCCTGGTTAAGTAATTTCAAGTGACTTTTCCTATATTATTAAGCGCCCCCTCCTCTGACCGTATCTCTTACTATTTTCTCGATTACTTTCTGTGTTCTGATCATAGGAACTTTTGCCCCGATCTCGTAACACAGCAAGATTTTCCTACATGAGAGACTCAGCATTCATTCTTCTTTTTGCTCTTCACTGCCACTTTTGTGAATGCCTACTCTTTATCATTCAGGGCTCAACTTCAAAGTCACATCTTCATAGAAACCTCCTTTGCAGCAAAATCTAAAGAATCTAATCACTCATTAACAGAAATCCTTGCTTAATTCTTCAAGTGGCATCTGTAGTTGGTAAGCATCTTTTTACATATTTGGCATGGATCTCTTCTTTCAAGAACATAATCTCTGTGACTGTGGAGCCTGTCAACAATGTTCACTGTTGTACCTCCTGCACTTGGAAGAGTGCCCATCTCATCATAAGATGTCCAACATGTATCACCTAAATAAATGTGCAAACATGGATGACAAATTGTTCATATTCTGCAGGTAAAAACTGTGTCTGGTGTCCCAAGACATGATCTCATGAAATTTAAAAAGAAGTCAAAATCTATTGCTAGTAATAAAACAAGATAAATCCTTCACAAAAAAGAAAGGTCAGAAAGAACTGCAGCTTTAACTTGGGGGAAAAAAATAAAGCACAGGTTAAGTCAAAGTTTAATTCACATAAAGTTTAATCAGTCAAGTTAATGAAAATATCAAAATTTTGGGGTTAGTGTATGGCAGCGAAAATTTAACTTCTGTTGTAAATAATACAGTATTTAGTGTTTCCATTGACAATCTATGCAGCAGAAAGAGCAATTGCATTAAATCTTAATTCGTCAGGATCACGTTCCATAAACTTCTTGCAAACTTCTATGGCATCCTATGGGGAAAAACAAGTATAACTTTTTAATTCAGAAATATCTCTTATTTACAAATGGTGATAAGAATTTCATATTCTCTACTTCATGGTAGAAAACAGTACTTTTAACCTGAAAATTATGTATTTCATGGATTAAAAGCCACATAACTTGTTATATTTCAAAATCTCTAAAATTAGGAATAAGATACAACTAATTAGATATCTCAGATTCAATGACATATGGGATATAATGAGCAACTCTTTCAATCTCAGTCTTATTTTTTTAAAATCTGACACCTAGTCATGTGAAGAGTGCTGGAAACTACTTCATTTACAGATTTTTTTTTTTTTTTTTCCCGGAACCAGGTATTGAACTCAGGCCCTTACACTTGCTAAGGCAAGCACTTATTCTACTGAGCCATCTCCCCAGCCCCCTTACATAGACTTTTTTTTTTTTTTTTTCCGGAACCAGGGTTTGAACTCAGACCCCAAGCGCTTATTCTACTGAGCCATCTCCCCGGCCCCCCCTTACATAAATTTTTAATGCTAATTAAAATTTTGTTTTTGAATTTTCTAAAATAAGCAAGGACAAAAAAATCCAAGTACAGAGAATTATTAGAGATATTTTAAAGATATCAAAAATATCAATAACACTTAAGCTGGGCCAAGATTTTATCTTTACCTCTAGTAAAGTCTCATCGCTAGTTTTCCCATGGTTAATTGGAAATGGTTTCCGCCCATCTGTGAAAAATAGACAAACAGTTAAGTACGTAGCTGTTATTATAATGTACTTTATCTTCCATTTTCCTCTTCCCGCAGTAAGACAAGAAGTTGAAACATTTTTTAAAAAAAATTTTTGTGGTGCTGAGAATCACACCTAGTGCCTCATTTGCGCTAGGCAAGTATTCTACCACTGAGCCTACAGCACAGAATAAGCCCAAAAGATTCTTTTTTTTTTTTTTTTGCGGAACTGGGGATTGAACTCAGGCCCTTGCACTTGCCAGGGAAGCGCTTATTCTACTGAGCCATCTCCCCAGCCCCAAAAGATTCTTTTAATGATATGTTTAAAGACGTGCTACTTACGCATTTTTACTATTAAAATTATTTACAATTTGTTTGCATGTTTAAAAGTCTGAATTATCTTTACAAACAGAATTTATTATATAAACAAAAATTGGCTGTAGTTTCCTACAAATACAGAAAATTTATAAGTAAAAACTTTAAAAGCTATGACTAGATTTTATACTTAGAAATATAAAAAATACACTTTTCAAGTAAATCAAGACTTCAAGACTGAAATGTTTTAATCAATGAAAAGGTGGCTTATATATTACTACTTATTGTATGTTGCCAATACAGTAACATGAAACAACTGCTCAAATAACCTAGGAGTATTTTACTGACTACCAAAATAGTTATCAAAATTCAATCAGCTTGAATAAATTAGGACTCTTTTGATATTATGAAAAAGTCAGAATTATGTAAACACACTATGCATCCACATCTATAATCACAGATGTTTTATTACTGATAGCTCATCAACTTCAATCCATTAAACACAGCCATTTCTAAAATTCCATAATTTTTAAGGTAGTAAAACCTTCTTAGTCAATAAGCATGCTGATAGACTTGGATTGGTAGATACTTTTAAGGAAAAATTGAATGAAAATAAACATAACTATATATATATATATATATAGACATTATCTCTGTAAATTATATTATCAGAACTTGTGATCTTTATTTTTTTGAATAGTGCTAGAATAAATTCCAAAATCCTAAAGAAACATATCCCAAAACTACAATGACTTGGATTAGCTCTTGAAGATTATAATTCTTAAATAACCATAAAGAAAATATTTTCACATAGACAAATACTATAATGAATACTGAGTTAACCACACTTCTATGAACATACTATGTTTCTACACTGCAATAAATATCTCTCAATAATATGCCACAAGGCAATTCCTTAAGATATCCTTTGGTGGCAAATGCTGTTTAAGAGCCCTTTTTGTTCTAGAGTTGTAAGAATCTGTTATTAAAATTGGGCTATGCATCCACATTTTTTAAATTAATTTTATTGAGAAACAAATAGCAATGAGACAGTTTCAAAACTGATTAGTAGGTCAGTCTCAATAATTAATACATTGCATAGCGTTGTCTTCGTAGTGACAACACTTATTCATAGTATAAGATGCAGACATGATATCCTGTGCAAACACTATTAGTACAAATCTTTCTTCTCACTGAATTAAGAGAAAGTAGCTGTGTATCTATCCTAGCTATTTTGTATATACAGATACAAAATGGTCCTTCATTTGTATCCCCTTTTTTTGTTTAGTTTTGTCACAGATGGGTATTTCATTGCCATTTAAATACTGTAGGTGCGTGAATTCAGCAAAATAATACAATATAGTCCAGTAGTTCATAACAGTAGGGGGTTATCTGTAGGACTGGCAATGTTAGAAGTTGTTGACTTGTGGGCTGCCCCATTTTATACTGTTGTATTAACTTCTACATAAAAGTAAAGTATAAGTAATGTAGGTTTCTTGCTTTTAACCAAACTATTAATATATATTTTTCTTGGTTCCTATCATTTATTTTTTGGTATTATACATTAAATTCTAGTAAGACATTTTCCTTATTTGCAGCTGTTTAAAGTAGAATATAATTAATTTTAAAAACAATCTTATAGACTAACATAATAAAATGATCTTGAAATGTGAAAAGAATACAAACAAAATGAAATCATATAGCGGGCTGGAGAGATGGCGCAGTGGTCTAAAGCACCTACTTAGAACAAGCTTAGCAAAGCACGGGGACCGCGGTTCAATCCCCCAGCACCACATGCCAGCCAGCGCCGCCCCCTGGTGGGCTGAGCTGGCCACACACACACACACACACACATAAATAAATAAATAAAATTAAAAAAATCATATAGCATTCTGCCACAAGAGCAGTTCAGAAAAAATATTAATTATGATTTCTACTGTTTGTGTAGCTCTAAGGTTGGCTACCTATAGCCCACAAGCCAAATCCAGCCTGTAGCCTATTTTTACATTCTCTTAAATTAAGAATGGTTTCTACATTCTTAAAGAACATAAAATAAGTGGAAGAATAAATAACAGAAATAATGTGTAGCCCGGGGGCCAGGGAGATGGCTCAATAGAATAAGTACTTGCCTGGCAAGTGCAAGGACCTGAGTTCAATCCCTGGTTCCGCAAAAAAGTAATAATAATAATAATGTGTAGCCCATAAAACCTAAGATATTTACTACTTACCACATGTTCCTGTCTTAAAAATATTACCAAAACACAGTAAAATCTAAAAGTTGCCACTATTTCAATCACAGCATTTGGCTAAAACTTTGGGTATAATTTAAGTAAACGTGTATCTTAAGATAATATACACTCCCTCTAAGTCAAGAAAAAGCTGTACCATACAGATGGGTTATGTGTCACCCCTGCCAAGCTTGGTCTAATTGGGCTGCAGCAGTTATGAGATGGACAGAAAAGAGGATAGTACACTACCTCCTTGGCTGTGACTAACCACCTAATTCATTCAGATGTTGTTCTTCAGACAGTTTGTGTAAAGATGCCAAAACACCCCAACACAAACAAGAAACTAAAGCCAGGCTCGGGGCTGGAGAGATGCCTCAGTGGTCTAAGTGCCTGCCCGGCAAGCGCAAGGACCCCAGGTTTAATCCCCAGTACTGCATGCCATGCTTGCCCCAGAACCATGGGTACACCATGCAGGCCACCGCCACCAGGCACAGTGGTGCATGCCAGTAGTGTTAGCGCTGGGGAGGTTGAGGCAAGAGGATCACTATGAGTCTGAGCTGCATAGTAAGACCCTGTACCAAAGAAATAAATAAGTGAAAGAATTAAAAAAAAAAAAAATTAAAGCCAGGCATGATGGTACATGCCTGTAATAGAAGGCCCTCAGGAGGCTAGGGCAGGAGGATTAAAGAATCAAGGCCAGCATGCACAACTTAACAGGGTTCTATTTCAAAACAAAAATACAGAAAAGGCCAGTAACATAGCTCAGCAGCAGATCTCTTACCAACATGCAAGAGGTCCCCCCTTGGATTCAATACTCATTAATACACACACACACACACACACACACACACACACACACAAATTACATAAATATCAAAAAAGCTATCACTGGGCATTTGAGAAATGCAGATTAAAAGTACACTGAGATTTTAATTTATCCCAGAAAGAGTGGCTATCATCAAGAAATCAAAGATCAAATTCTGGCCAGGCTGCAGCATAAAAGGAACCCTTCTACATTTTAGTGGGAATGTAAATGAGTATAGCCACTAGAAATCAGTAGAGATTCCTCACAAAACTAAAACCAGAAATTCCATTCACAAATGCACACCCAAGTTTATAGCAGCACAACTCATAACAGCTAAATTTTGGAAGTGGACTATATGTCTATCAACAGATGAACAGACCCAGAAAATGTGGCATTTATACACAGTGGAGTATTATTCCATCATAAAGAAGAGCAAACTTGAGTCATGTGTAGCCCAAGGGATGCACTTTGAAATCATACTGTTAGTTTTTCCTTTGTTTGGTGGTACTGGGATTGAACTTGGGACCTTGTGCTTGCTAGGCACATGCTTATGCTGCTGAGCTATATCCCTGGCTCCATACTGTTAGTGAAGTAAATCAGACACACACTCTTATATGAGAAATCCAAAATATAAATTAAGAGTGACATACGAGATCATAGGAAGATAGATCCTTTGCAAAAGGGGAGTTGGGAGGGAGGAGGTAAAAAAAAGAATTGAGATGTATTATGTACATGTACCAACTACCTGTGAGAAATGTAATTATGCACTGTGAACACATACCAATAAAACTAACAATTAAAAATTATTGACATTCAGTGACAGTCAACATGAATGATGAAACTTTACGAAATAAAAACTATACAGAAATAAACACTTTCATATTCAAGGCTTCAAGTCTGATATCGTGTTGCATCAAATAAATAAAATTCATAGAACTGCAGAATCTTTTCAAATTATGTGTAACAAATTTGTAAAACCTGAAATGAATTTAAATACAGAGTTAAAGAAAAGTCTCAGAGACCATAACAAAAGACAAGGATGAAAAATAGTAGAGAAAAGAATTAGAAGTTCCAAAGGGGACATTTCAGAAAACTAGAACAAAGGAAAACGAGAAGCCCAAAGAAGGAAAATGTCCCATACTGAAACTCGAGTTTCTAGACTGACAGGAGGCCCTGAAGACCAAAACCTCTGATGAAAACAGATCTTAAGGAAGACTGCCACAAAACATCAGCAGCTTTGGATAAAGAAAAGACCCTACTCGATCCCCAGGGCCACCAACAAAACAGACCCAGGATTTTGCAGGGTTTTGCAAGATGCAAATATATACAAAGTATACAAAGGGTCACATAACAACTGGAGGTTTCTTTATAGCAACTCAAGTAAGCTAAAAGACAATATTCTGAAAGAAAACTGTTCTTCAGCATGAAACTTTAGAAATGCAAGTTCAACATCAAAGTGTTTTTACTTCCCTCACAACTTTCCTTTACTAAACTGCTGGAAGAAGATACTACAATAAAATGAAGAAGTAAACAAAAAAATAAAGGGGACATCACATCCAGGAACAGGAACCTGAACAGAGGAGCAAGTCTAGCATAACTAGGAGATAGCTCATGATGATAAATGTGTACAAGAGAACACTGAGTGATAGCTCTAAGAAGAAGCTAACAGAATGCCAGATATTCCAGTTATTGAGAAATGCAGACCAAAAGAAAAGAGCTTAGGAAAAACTTAGTATTAAATACACTTTAAGTTTTCAAGAAATGTGATGACAGGGGAAATTTTAATCAATGTACTAGCAAAGGGCCACTTCAAACTTGTATTCTTTTTTTTTTTTTTTTTTGCAAGAGTACAAGATAATATTAAAACAGAAAAATTACAAATGATACAGAATTTCACTAAACAAATTAATATGAATTTCAGTGTTTGTTGTACTGCACAGTGTTGTTTTCAAATTAGTTGTTCATATTACCAGATATACGTATGTAAAAGAATTTTAAAAAGGTGACAAATTAAGCCACCAACTGCTCCTTTCCATAGATCAGCAGAAATCCACAGTGCTAATATTCTTAAAATTTATATACATTTTAACTTTTTTGAAATATATTCCAATTAGAAAAAAATAAAAATAAAAAAATAAAATAAAATAAATACATTTTAAAAATAGCAACCAAACAAAATAAAAAGCTAAAAAAGACCATTATAAACTCTGGCAAAATTTTATAAAATTAAAAAGAAAAGTATGTTACTCAAGACTCACCTGAGAATAATGTTTCTACAGATGAAATAAGATAAATATCAACTCTTAATGACATTAAGAAAATAGGGGGAAAAGCATGTATATTGTGGTTGGAAAAGAAGAGCACGAAAAGGCTATTTCTCTCTCCAAATATGATGATACTGCACTAAACCTCACACTGGAAATAAAACCCTGTACAAAATATCTGAAACCATTTTTAGATGGGAAGTCACTAAGTAGAGCCCTAACAGAATGCCAGCATTCTGCCAGGGGACACTGTCTGTACCCAGTGAGTATAGAAAAAAAAGGAACCCAAGGAGGGCAAAATAGTCTAGTTGAGAATTCAAAGAAGCTGAAGCAGCAGGATTTGCAAAATACCAGAGAGCAAGCTTTAGAGGGCTCTTATTTTCTCGGGGCCAGGCCAGAACCCATGAGCTGTGTTGAACTGGGGACCACTGGGATGGGGATTACGACTGAACTTGAAGTAACATGTCTGTACAGAGAGGAAATGGGTACATTAGAAAAATACACATGGATTCATGGTTCATGGAAGCAAGTTTTCCCACTTTCACAGAAAAGGGAGTCATGATGCAGAAAACACTATGTGCAATCTGTACTATAGACAGAATTAGTAGTGATTCTGTGTTTCTTTGATACTTATCTTGCACTGCTAGGGATCAAACCCAGGGCATCATGCATGCTAGGCAAGGGCTCTACAACTGAACTATACCTTCAGCCCAGAATTAGAACTGATATAAATGAATGCTTTTTAATATAAAGGCAGAGAAACATACAACTGAGTTTGCATGTAAACCCATATTCACATATGTGGGCTCATATATGCAATATATACAATTATTTCCTAGCTCTGTCTTCTGAGTGGGCCTAGAAGCACTAAAATCTGAGCAGCCAGGAGCACATCTAGCAGTGCAATCGTGTTCCAAGTACCATTTCCACTAAAAGGAATAAGGGTTCTTTAGCGACATGGCAGAACACAGGACAAGGAAACAGAAAACAAAAGATAGGCCCAACATATCTTGCTCTACCTAAAATTACTCAAAGAATAACAATGCCATAACAAAAGGATACAAGAGCTAGCTTAAACGTAAAATATGAGTCCATTCTGATATGACTGATTGAATGAATGAATGAATGAATGAATGAATGAGAAAAGTTTCTAATGTTGAAGGAATTTTTTTTAAATCACCTTTGGTAACCACTATAATATAATTAAGTCAGTCAAGAATTATCACTGGTGGGACCGGCCAAATGGCTCAGTGGATTAAAAGTGCCTGAAAGAAGGTGCAGGGGCCGAGGATTTGATTCCCAGGCCTACCATGCCAGCTCCACCCCTGGGGCATGCTGAAATGGCTATTGAAACTGGGTGTGGTAGAGCACACCTGTAATCCCAGCTCTTAGGAGGCTGTAAACAGGCAGATCACTACGAATTTGATCTAGTAGTGAGACCCTGAACACCCTTGTAGACCCTTCCCTAAAATACAAAAAAAAAAAAAAAAGAATTATCACTGGTTACTAAATACAGTAGATAAAAATTTGATGAGAAACTACATATTTAGTGTCTCAAAGTATCTGAAAATTACTTCTTCATCAATGACTTATTTGTAGTATAGAAGTAAGTCAGATGCCATCTAAACTAAATGACAAAAGTTAACATTACCAGTAATAAGAAATTGACACGACCTCCAGACACAATGCACTGAGAACATAACGTCACTTCTCAGGTAGTTAGGCTAAAAATGCTTAGATTGTGAGGAAATAGACAACTCTGCTTCCAGAAAGACACATGAATTCCCAGTGACTGCTACACCTATCCCCGTATGGATGTTGGAGACCAAATGAAACGTATCTTCCAAAATCACCTCCCATTACAATGACTTCATTTTAGTTTGAATCCTACTTGGTTCACTATTGTAAACAACCTTCCACACTATATACTTTTATAAATACTATACTGTGGCCTTTCTTTTCTTTGGTCTCTTCAGTAACTCTATTTCTTTTAAATAAAGTGTATGATTCTATTTCTATATTTCAAATACAAAACTCATCTGAATTTCACAGATCACATGTATAGTGATGAACTGAGTTGTTTTAGAACTCTTCTCACTTTAAGAAAAATAAAAGTGGCAAGTTCATACATATCTTGCAAGTGGGAGAGAAATAAAAAATGACAAGTAGAACTCCTGAAAAAATTTTGCTCCTTTTTGTTGTTGTTGTTTCTTGTTTTGGATTTTTCAACCCAAAAAAGTCATGTGCAGAAGAACAAGGACGACTCATTGTTAGTACTGTATACTAATGAAAAATTACATAAGAAGCTTTTTGTATTTGAATAATTCAGTTGAAATTATGTTGCTCTGTTCCATTATGTTCTCAAATGGTCCACCCACAGAACTTCCTTTAAAAAAAGAAGGAAGGACATTCAGGTATAGGCCAAAATATCAAGTACAAACTATGGTACATTGATATTTGCCTAAGGAAAACATAAACATCAGACAGCATACATAGGGACAGTACACAAGCCTGAAAACCAGTGATACTCATTACTGAATACAAAACTTGATATATATAGATAGATAGATAGATAGCATAAAGACAATTCACCCAGATATTGAATTTAACTACTTAAATCTGTACTAACTACTTAGTAGTAGTTAAACAGTACTAACTACTTAGTACAGATTGCCAAAATAATTTACAGAGGGGCCAAGGAGATGGCTCAGTAGAATAAGCGCTTCTCTGGCAAGTGCAAGGGTCTGAGTTCAATCCCTGGTTCTGACAAAAAAAAAAAAAAAAAAAAAAAAATTTACAGAAGTTACTTATAATGGCTTTTTCTTGCTTTGCTAAAATGTAAATGTGATATTTAAATGTTCTTGAACATCAAAAATTCAGTTTAAAAAAATCAACTCAATTTTATAGGGCAATTAACTTACATAAACAACAAATAGTAGCAACCCTATTATTATAGAGACTTTCACATTGTTTACCATATAAATTAAAACAGTTCTTACCTAATTCATAGAGATGCCCATCTACATGAACTAATGCAATAAAATGAAGGTCTACTTTTTCATCTATATTTGGTGCCTGGAATGGGAGGGAAAAATACATATTAAATACATCAGTTGTCAAACAAATGAATCAAGTACACAAACATCTACAAAGAATATCAAATGATATGAGAACACTGATCCCATATAATTTCAAGCTTAATCCTTGATATAGTGGGCAAAGTAACCATACCTAAGTTTGTAAAAAATGTGTTCCTCATCAACATGAAATGAAAAACAACTATAGAAGCAAACTGTCCTTAGCCTCAGCTGATCTAACAAGCCAAGTCCTGCTAACCATGGAAGCCCCCTGCCTAACCCCGTGCCTAGATAATCATAGAACAAAATAAATTGTGCTGATTCTAGAATCCAAAGGCTTACAAATGAATAGATGCAAGAAAACAACCCTAAAATTCAGAGGGAGAGAAAAGAGTCAAAACAAAGTACTACCATAAAGTCTATGATTTTTTTCTTTCATTTTTAATGAATAATTTGAAATTTAAGCTCTAAATAGGTTTTTGTAGCTTAGCAAATCAATTTACATGAGCAATATTTATATTTCTTAGATATTAGATATTCAAATAATTTATGTGAGGTCAATACACTGATTAGCCAGTACTTTGTCTGATATACAGTAAGTACATGGCTAACGCAAGTATGTGTTAGCTACATATCAAATCTATGTGGCTTGAAATGAAGAACTATTAAATACAAACATTAATTTTTCAAGTAAAACTTCTCAAGAGGCATAAGTCAAATTATAACCCACATTATCTAATAATCCTTTTAAGTAATATTCTACTATCCTAACACAAAAACCTATACTTTTTTTTTTTTTGCGGAACTGGGGATTGAACTCAGGCCCTTGTGCTTGCCATAGAAGCGCTTACTCTCCTGAGCCATCTCCCTGGCCCCCTATACTTTTCTTATCTCAAAGCTATGTATTTTTTGTTTGTTTTTGTTCCTTTTGTGGTACTAGGGATTGAACTCAGGACCCTGTGCGTGCCAGGCAGGTGCTTATTCTACTGAGCTATCTCCCCAGCCCTCTAAGTGATATATGTATTGTAAAGTAGTTGTAATATAAAGTTTTCTGGTGCAGTTATTAAAAAGTAAACAATACCACCATTTCTACTCATTACTGTATTTTACGATTTACAGAATGCTGATAAAACATTAATCAACATAGCAACTCATGTAGTCTCTCATTCTTTTGACACTATTTCCCTCAAGCTATAAAGGGAAGAAACTTAGAATAAACTGATGTGGTAAATCAACTCTTCCTAACCCTAACATCAACCCAGAACTGAAGAGTTCCACATCAGTAGGGTTCAAAGTTATCTAGCTTTACTACTGCTTCTCCTCCTCCATGGTCCCTTCTTGAGGCAGCACCTCCATTACAAGAAACTGCCTAACTCTGTGGTAGTCCAGCCCATAGTTAATTCTGATAAGAATTATCTCTCATATTGAGGCTAAAATGTGTCTCCCTGTGAGTTTCACCACTCTGCAAAAAAGTCCAGTCCTTCTTGAATATGATATTTCTTCAAATATTTCAAGTCTGTAATAGCAAGTTCCCTTATTCTTCTAGTCAGGGAATCAAAAAATAGTAGATATCATTCAATCCAACACCCTGTGTTTATCAATGACTTGAAGAGCAATTTGCAAATTATAAATTCAATTCTGTGGCAAAGTGCTAGAATGAATGGGCCAGCCAAATAGTTCAGTGGACTAAAGCACCTGCAAACAGGAGCAGAGGCCAGGGGCTCGATCTCTGGGCCTGACCTCCTGGCCCTGCCCCAAGGCACGCCGAGACAGCAATTGAGACTGCGTGTGCTGGCGCGCGCCTGTAATCTCAGCTCTTGGGAGGCTGTAAACAGGTGGGTCACTATGAGTGCAATCTAGTAGTGAGACCTGAACACCCTGTAAACTCTTCTCCTCGCCAAAAAAAAAAAAAAGTACTAGAATGAATTCCTCATTTGATTAGGAAAAAAATTTCAATGGAATACTACTCAGACATAAAGAAGAATAAAATTGAGCTTTTTATAGTTAAATGGATGCAACTTGAGACCATACTCATAAATGAAATAAGTCAAACTTACATGTATAAACATTGCATTGTCTCCCTGCTGTGAGAAACTAAAAGAGTAAATAAGTTCTAACATGTAAAATAGATATTATGAAATGAGAAGAAATTGTTCAAGGGGAAAAAGAAACTATAATGGGTAAAAAAAAAGAGACTGTAAAAAGGGAAAAGGGACAAAATGCAAGTCAGTGATACTATTACTGTCCCTTAGATCACTAAAAAGGAAGGTTTGTACTAATATCAACTGGAGAAAATTTATGTCCATATCCTGTACCCCAAGCAACTACTTTAATAACACATAATGTACTAGTTATTGTTATTCTATTATTTTATTAATTGTTTTACCTTTTTTCCATAAAATATTTTATTCATTTTAAGACAATTCTCCAACATAATATGAAATATTTTAAATCTTTTCAGATACTGTTTTTAATAAATTACTACTTTAACTTCTTTTAAGAATTATGTATCATAAATTTGTATGTTTCATACTTCACCAGTAAATAAACCATGCTAGAGATAACAGCAATACTGCTGCAGTCAGAAAACTGATTATTCAACTTCTGAGAGCTTTGAGTTTCTTACTCACTTTGAGATTTAAATGAAATGTATCAAAATACTTCAAGTGTTATATAAGGCTTATGTATTTGCACTATTATGTTTTCACAAATAAAATTACCAAATATAGTGGCTCAAAATTGTGTCATTGTATTTTATCCAAAAGTGCATACAAAAATTTCAGAACGCTAAAGTAAGCATGAAGAATCTTCAACCTATTATGAAACCTCAAAACTTTTCAGCATCTATAAAACTTCAATGTCTATTATGAATCATTTCCTTTAATCAACTTCACTTAACCTGAGGGTCTAAAATCTGCAGTTATGGGGCTGGAGAGATGGCTCAGTGGAATAAGCGCTTCCCTGGCAAGCGTAAGGGCCTGAGTTCAATTCCCAGTTCCAGCAAAAAAAAAAAAAAAAAAAAAAAAATCTTAAAAAAAAAAAATAAATAGGGGCCAGGGAGATGGCTCAGTGGAATAAGCTCTTCCCTGGCAAGCATAAAGTCTTCTACTTCAAAAAAATGACCAACAAATTTTCAGAAGACAAAAGAACAGAAGTTATGGATTAGATAACTTTGCTTGTATATTAATTCCTTATTTTAGCATATAGTATTTTTTTAGTTACCTCAAAGAATTAAAAACTAATATATCAATTAGAAATTAAATAATAAATATAAATGTAATCTTTCAAAACATTCAAATTTAATATATATGATACTAAATACATACCAGGCACTGTTCTAAGTGATATATATACATACATATATATAGATAGATAGATATAGATAGATATAGATATCACCATATAAAACCAATGAGGTAATTACATTCATCTTACTCTCAAGAAGGCTAGACAGAGAGGTATTTAGTAATAGTAACATTTTCTAGGCTAACAACTAGACATGACAGACCCTAGAATAAAACTCAGGCAACGTGGCTCCTGATCAATGTTCTTATCCATATTGCTATGAAAATATGAGGCTATCAGGCAGTGGAATTAATATGGAAATACTAATATTAACATTACATTGAAGATATAAAACTGGAAATGTTAAAATTTACATGTTCCCTCATATTTACGATGCTTTTAAGTACAAAAAATTTTCATATTTACAATTAGGCCAATTGTGCCCTAGTCACAATTTACAAAATTAGATTTTACCCTGTTCACCTTGTAGTTCTTACTATATCAAACAGCATATAGCACATTTGAAAAGCAACAAATATCAAATAGATAAATGAATAAAAAGACAAATGAATGCTGTAACTCAATGATGATAATGAAACAGAGACTTCAGTTTGTATCTACTTGGCACAAATGAAAGGCTACTGGACAATCACATTGATGTTTGGTGGAAGCAAATGTTTAAGAAAAAGTGTTGAAACTCCACTTCATAGTTTGAATACAGCTCTGGAAAGGCAAATAAAGGGGAGGAAAGAGTGTTCAACATCAACTTCTGTTTTTAAGTGTTAAAATGTTTGTCCAATAAAATTTTCCCTGGCTTCAAAAGTCATGATATACAGAAATGTCAAATTTCTTATAACATATGGTACACACCAAAACTTTCAGATACTGCATTTCTAAGACAGGTTCTGCTAAACCAGTCAATACTTTTTAACAGTGTAAATCAGAAAGACAAGAGTTATAGTTGCTTAGTTCTGCAGTTTATTTCAAGTATGATAATTACTAAAATTCCATAATCAACCTCAACATTTAAGATAATTATGATTACAAAAACAAATGTACTTTTTAGTAGTTTGCTGATATTTTTAAGTTACCAAAGAGAAATCATAGAATTTGTGGGAAGCCTGTATCAATACACAAAGAGAAAATCTTCAGCTTCTACTTGGAAAAGATCTTTAGAAACCGAATAGGCAGGGAAGATCGGATCAAGATTAAACCAAGTACCTGAGCCACCTCAGGGAATAAAATAGCTTAGATGAAACACCCTACACCGTGAGGGATTTAGATTGAGGACAGAGTAAGTAAAGTGACCCCAGAGCACGGCAAGGCACGTCATGCTCAGAAATATGGAGAAAAAAAAAAAAAAAAAGTAATAGATGACAAAGAACTCAGAAAGTACATAGCATTTGTTGACCTGAGTCAACTAAATGAAATCAGAAAGCTGAAGGTTAAGAAAACACATATTCACTTTAACAACTGACAGGAACTTAAACATTATCACAAATGTGGATCAGTACACATCAAAAGGCAGGCAACCTTATGTTTGCAGAATATGGAGTGGGAAGATGGATGTTCACCAAGGTAGTGGGGTGAAAGTCAAGCTAGACTGCAAAGCATATAGGTATGCTTGCAATCTTATTGGGGAGAAAAAGCTAATGGCTGAGTGAATCAAGAGAAAGCATTTTCAAGACTGAAGACGTTTAGAGAAAAATAAAT